TTTCTAGTTATATTTTCTTTAGATTTAAACATCAAGCAGTTACATGCTTTAAAAATAATAAAAGTTATAACAGTAACAAGATCAAGAAGAGATGGTTTGGAGTTTGGGAAATAATGAGTTGGAGACGACTTTTGAAGAATATGGAGATTGAGAGAAGATGTCAGACTATTAAGCTTACCAGCTCTAGTATTATTTTTTAAAAGACAAGTGTTAAGATCACCCATCAAGATGATCTGGTCGTAAACAGGCACTACATCCTCAAGCGCACTCTCAAGAGAGTTAAAATAATCCACCTGATCGTTTGGACTATAAAGGGCCCCTAGGAGAATCTTTGTATGGCGTGTAATAATCTCAACAAATAAATATTCAATGGCGCCAGTGTAATGTGATGGAGAATGCATGATTACTCTGGCAGGAATATGACTACGCAGATAGATACCTACACCACCGCCCCCTAGACCAGTGCGATCATTGCGAAAAAGCTTATAGCCCGGGATAGAGAAACATGTGCTAGAAAGGGAAGGCTTTAACCAAGTTTCCGAAATAAGTATACAGTCAACTACGCCATTGTCAAAGGAAGTAAGAAGATCATTATAATGGGATGGAATACTTTGGGCGTTGATATGCACAAGGGAAAGAAAATTGGGATTTTTACCAAAAGTTTCTAACAATTTGTAATTCAAAGGTTTTGAATCAAAAAGCAAAGAATCATTACTATCTGCACTTTCATATTCGTCAGACGAACAAGAAAAATATTCATCATACACTAACATATATAAAGATAATATATATAATATAATAACAAAAAAATAAATAAATAAAATAAAATAACAGTAATAAAAAAAAACAATTAATTTAAAAACCTCCGTAAGCCCAAGTTGACTTGAAGAAGAATCTCCGATAACCGGACACATTTCAAGGCAAAACAGCTACAGAAAACAAAACAGATTGGACAATAGGTTTATGCCGATTACAAATTTTGAAATTTAATTTTAACCAAAATTAGATAACGTGATAACAAACACTGTCATGAAAAAAAAAAGTTCTTTGGCTGTATGAATATCATTACCTTGTCTTTAAAAAAGAAGTAAGTAAAAAAAAAACAATGACATTTGCTCTACTGCAGTTTAGTTGACAGTGACGTGACAGATTACCGACAGTATTTTGTAGCGGTGGGTCGTTCTCAAATTTTCTGACGACGAAACGCAACCGTTTTCTCTTAAACGAAAACTAGTCCTCGAAACGGTTCTCGTTCGCAACTGGTTTTGGTTGCGGCTGGGTGACGCAACGAAACGACACGCGACGGTCGAACGAATGTAACGCAACGAAACTGAACTAAATGAAATCTTGTTAACGTTCGTTTCGTTGCTGCGAACGAGACGACGAAACATCGAAATAAATGTAGTGTTATACGATAATCGACTTTAAATGTTCAATAATAAAGATTATATTATTGTAAAATCAAAGCTTAATTATCATAGAACGAAACGGCCTCTTAGCATTGCGTTCTATTATAGACTGTATTTGCTTAATCATAAAGAACATATTGGCTTGCAGACAATCCGAGGACTAGTTGTTCGACGAAGACTGTTTTGATCCGAAACGTAAAACGGTTCTATCGTCGCGGAACACAAAACGGTCCTTGAAACCGGTTCGTCTTTAGAACGCTCACACCTAGTATTTTGATTCTACTTGTAATCAAAAAGTATATTCTGTTCAATAAAAATAGATAAATTACGGTAGAATAACAATTAATGTTCATTTGCGACCAAAATAGCTCGCACAAAGTGAAGTTAGTAATTGAACTACAATTATCGACATACCGCACAGTTCAATGTTATAGTCCGACAAAGAAATAGAGGACAGGCAAACCGAAATGTTACTTGACACTTTCTTGAACCACTTCCTCCGATTGTTTTGGATGCCTGAGTATCAATTGTTGGAGATCATTGCTAGAGAAGATTTTCTTACGCACACCGTCCGCCAACAGAACAGAAATAACGCCTTCAGTTGACCAGCATTTCTTCCTACCAAAATGTTTGCGAGCTGCTACAAAAAGTTCTTGTCTCATCTTAGTAAGGAACTCGGATACTGATATATTAGAATCCTTCAGCTTGGTTTTACTGTTCCACACCATCATGCGTTGTTTCATTGAAATAAAGCGAACCAGGACTGGACGATTTGAACCCTTTTTCTTTGTGCCAAGCCGATGACAAGAGCCAATAGCTTCAGAACTCATACTGGCTAATTGTAATTTGGTGGTTAATATGGAAACAGTTTTGTTTACTATATCTTCATCCTCATCCTCCCTGATCCCATGAAACAAGAGAACCTTCCTGCGGGTATGTGCATCCAGGCGATCCAAACCCAATGTCAGCAGTTCAATCTGTGACTTTAGTATGGAGAGTGTCTTCCAGACAAATGTCTTGAACGATGCAAAGTCAGCAGCTAAGGATTTTACCGTAGTGTTGGATTCTTTTGAACCAGGTACTTGAAGATGTTTTTCGAACTCGGTCATCCGGCTGTCAAACATTGTAGTGAGATCGTTTATACTGTGAAGAAGCTGTTCTGCTGTGGTGCCCATGGTTACACTGGAGATAATGTTTGTGAGGGAGTAAGAGATATCAGCTTAGCCACTGGAGATATTACTTTCTAACCATAAAGACTATAAATATTTTTAAAATATAAATAAAACTATGAGCAACTTTTATAAGTGTTATTCCTTTCACGCCTACCCGCGAAAAAAAAAAAGTTTTTTTTAATTAATGCCCGATATTTTGTCATTAATCTTTTTAGATAGCGAAAGTCTACTTTTGACAAATGATACAGCCATTTTATGGATACACTAGTCGAACGAACTAACGATATTATAACTAACGATCTCTACCAATTTGTCGCTCAACCGAATGACGTGGCATATTTTTTATTTCAGAATTATTTTTGTGTCGACATTCAATCATTATTAAGCCAACACGTGTCATGGTTTCCACATATAGCTTGATTTATTATTCGAATTTAATTTGTGATAAAATGAGCGAATAGGTAATGTTTTTTTTTTCTATGTTCTTGGGCACTTAGCGGCGATGTATTATAGTAAAAAAAATACACTTTTTGAGCAATAGAAGTTTTTTGAATATAAAGTTTGTTGTTGTTATTTGTTTTTGTCTTAGCCGAGTACGATATTTCTCTAGTATTTTTTATTTATTTATAAATGTAGCAGTGAAATGCGAAAAAAAAAGTTGTATTATTAAAAACCAAATTGTCTTTATCGCATTCTACTTTCCTTTGAACTTTATGAAATTACAAAGTATTCATAAATAATTTTAGTGATGGACTATTCACTAGAACGAACGTTCTGAACTGACTGCCTCTGCCCGTCGTGTGCTTTGTGTACGCGGCGAGGGCAGCCGCAGACATCGACGGGCAGACGCGGTTTTTATTGCTTCGCGGACAAAAAGCCCGCCCCGCTCCGTCGTCTGCAAAGCGCCTAAGAGTATGCGCTGCGTTAAGCGGGGCTCGGAGCGGGTGTCCACGCGGCATGCAGTTTTTATGTCATTTCATAGAACAGCGCGGTGTGGTAGACCCGCCTCACGCAGTACTACTGAAATAACATGAACCAAATACGCCGAGAGGACGCCCGCTCCCTGCTCCCGCTTAACGCAGCGTACACTCTTACTATTGTTGACTTGAATTCGTATCACTCTGACAAGAACAAAACAAGTCACCAAACTTCAATCATTATTAATTGTTATTATATTTTTTTTATTTGAAGCATGTAACTGCTCGATGTTTAAATGTAAAGAAAATATTACTAGACAAGAAATCCACGCGGACCAGGCAGCAGACGGGACTCGAACGCGCAACCCTTCGCTATCCGGGTGAATGCACTGACTATTATTTTAGGGCCGCGGTAGCATAATCGTCAGTAGATTCGTCCGGATAACGAAGGGTGCGGGTTCAAGTCCCGTCTGCTGCCTGGTCCGCGTGGAATTTTTCTAGTATTATTTTCTTTAGATTATTAACTGTTTCTATGATCGATGTTATGGAACGCTATTTCCGACGACAACTACTCTTCGTCCTGGTTCAAAGATGTGTTGCGGAATTGCAGGATGAAGGCGCTTGTTAACGGGACGGTTTTCGGTCGAATCTAGGTACTGACGACCGGACGTAGACAGTATGAAATACTGTCTACGTCCGGTCGTCAGTTAACTATGGGGTACGATGGAGCTATGTTGTCGACACGTCAGACGGTAGTGGCAATACCATTCGACACGGTTTTTAGACCTTTTTTTATGTGTGTATGCTGTTGGTCGTCGCAAATGAGCTTTACAGCTTTTCCGGGTTTGGGGACGGCGAGATCCTAAGGGCTGAGAATTGGCGAGTGCCTCTAGAGGTATTTGAGGCGGATGGCATCTCCCCACGGGGGAAGCCTCTAGAACACTCAAACCGACCGGAGGGGGTCGGTTCAACTCGAGGGCGTCTCTGTGACTCGGACCTCGGCACTAGGTAGCTGTTGTCGTGGGGGGGGGGGGGGGGGGGGGAAGAACGCCCAGGTACATACCTGTACCTGGTATAGCGTGTCGTGTATAGACCGGGTCTTCGCACTCTTATCCTACGGGTGCGGTGTCTGTCTAATGCTAAGCTAGTGTGCAAGTATGCTAGCTGAGTAGTGTTGGTGTTTATGGCTTGTGTGAGAAGGGTCGGAGGCAGGTTTTTATACCGTGCTCATGCCCGGCATAAAACATGTTAACAAGCGGCGTTATAGTAAAGTGCCTAAGCTGTCATCATTGCCAATACACCAGTGTAACTTGACAAGCGGAGAATACAAAATAGACGCTTGGCTTTAAAATAAAGAAAACGGCAAGGTATCAGACGCTACTAAGTTTACTGAAGTACTTTTACAGTACTAAACTATGAAGAAATTTTATAGCTTAATGTGCAATTAAATAAATAAAATAAGACGCTATCTATATCTTTGGCATATCACATAATATACTCACAGTTTTATCCAATAAAAGGCTGATCCTACAATTTAAATGTGCATCGTCCCCGAGCTGCACTGTGATTTTCGTTATATTCCCCTCAGGGGTGTCCTCAAATGTTGGTCCATACTTTCTGTCGTGATCAAAGTAAGTGTTTTTCACGGAAACAACATGCGGAACCATTTCTGGTCTTGCTATACTCGGCTGAAGAGTCAAAGTCCCTTGGGTAGGTTCCTGCGAGGGTTGTGGGACTTTGAAAGACTTTGTGCTATCTATCGTCGAGTTTCCTAGTCGAAGTAGGACCGGCGCCGGCACAATGCCCGTGCTGAGAGCGAAGAATGACGTCACCGTTTGGTCTTCCTCAGTTGTTGATATTGCAGGGTTTTCTGAAATAGAAAATACTAAATTAGTTGATGTTCGATATAGAATCATTCGAGGAGTTCGATGGCGTGGTTGGTTAGCACATTCGGCTGAGAACGTTGAAGTTAAGTAACTTTCGCAGTGGTCGGTCATTGGATGGGTGACCAAAAATCTTCTATCTAGAGTCTAAGCACGGAGGTGCTTCGGAAGGCACGTTAAGCCGTTGGTCCCGGCTGCATCTGCAGTCGTTAGCACCCGCCAATCCGCACTGGGCCCGCGTGGTGGGTCATGGTCTATCTCCCTATTCCATCCATAGGGAAGGCTTGTGCTCTAGCAGTGGGGACATTAGTAGGCTGATGATGATGATGATGATGATGATGATGATAGAATCATTATCAAATAAGAACGGACAGTATTATTTTTGTATAGCAAATTTACTTCAAACTGTAAAATTTTCTCAGAGAATTGCGAGTCAGCTGGAGGAATTTTACTGTTTCCGGTAACTTAATCGGTGGCTGCCTCCATAAATAGTAGGACAGTACACTTTGTGACTAATATTAAGGCAACGATATAACCTAGAATTTGAGTTGTCGACGGAATATTCTTATATTATTTGGATGGTTGAAGACTCAAACTTTTATCTCACGACTGCGCTGCCACCGAATGCAAAATGCATAGTGAATAAAATCGTTCCAAATGAACTTGCTGCGTATGACAACTCGGGAGTCAGTAGCTTCGTGCATGGAGCGAATTGGCTGTGCAACTACATTTACGAGGAGTTTTTCTCGAGTTTGAGATTTTGCAATCGTAGATACTTTAAGGTTCGATAACAGGATATTCATATTTTGAATAGATTCATATAATTATACTTTAGAACTTCATTAATTCGTTCGATATCATAGAAAATAAAGGGTCAACTTGAATTACTTAGCATTTATGCAGGAAAAATCCATTGCATTATCTCATACTTATGTAATTTTGAACATACCGGTATTTACGCTAGAATTCTATGATAAAAAAATCATAAGTAAATCTAACTGAAAATTTATGTACCTAATTTTCTTCTTACGATCCTATTCTAGCAGATTCCTATAGTCAAAATTTTAAAATACATCAGCAGATTAGAATAGAATAGGATAGAATAATCTTTATTTGCATTAAATAGGGTTTATAAAAGGTGTTTGCATATAAAGCATAGGTTAAAGCTAAGAATCTTAAACCTATTTAGCCATATTAATAGCATGCAAAAAATCTAATATATTAAAACATAACAGTCATATAAATTCACCTATCATTCATTTAGTAAAAAGTATTTTATCATTATAATTTAAATCAAATTTATGTCAATATAAATTACAATTCTCGATGTCAGTTCAAAATAAAAATATTTTATGTCAATTTAGTGTGATATACCTATATAACAATTTTTTTCATTATGATAATTTAAGATTATTATTCGATTCAATTAAGCCTTACTGGTTTATACAATAAATAATAAAAATATTTTAATATTGCACTAGGCTACTTGGCCTAGATACCTGTGTGCAGTATTTTGTTTCGAGTACCAACTCGTTTACCTGCACTGAAATTGTTAAGTAGCTTTAGAATACGTCGCTAGGTTTTAAATGTATTAGCCAAATGTACGGCATATAGTGCAATTCCTGGTAGCTATTGCAGAAAAGTTGACTGTTGAGTCGAAGGAAAGCCAATGCATTTGTAACATGCTCTGAAATACGGATGTTCAATTTTCTATTCGTCGTGCTCTCTCGCAGTTTTGAATGAATATAAAAAAATAAATAAACAAAAAATAAAATCGAAAATGGAACTAAAAAATAATATCTGGTTCATGATTTGGAAGACGGGCGGGTAAAGATGGAAAGACGTATTATTACCGAGCAGAAACGAAAATCTATTTAATTTTTCAATCTTGACCCCGCCCAACTTCCTAATCATGAACCATATATTACTTTTTACTTCTTAGTTCCATTTGTGATTTTGAAGTCGGTTTTATTTTTTGTTTTTTTTTTATTTCATCTATTTTAAGCAATATTACAAAGTTAACAAGTAAAGTCAACAATAACACAATTGACAGAGAAATCGGTGAACATACATAAATATATATATATATATACTAACTGACCCAGCTAATTTCGTACCGCCATAAAAAAATAGGGGTTGGTGGTAGAAAGTTGAAAATTAAGGGATGTATGTATTTTTGTGTGATGTATCATAAAAAAAAATAACTAAAATGGAAAAAAAATAGGGGTGGATTACCCTTAACATTTAGGGGGATGAAAAATAGATTACATCCGATTCTCAGACCTACTGAATATGCATATAAAATTTCACGAAAATCGGTCGAGCCGTTTCGGAAGAGTTTAACCACAAACACCGCGACATGAGAATTTTATATATTAGATATAGTCGAACACAGAACCTCCTCCTTTTTTGAAGTCGGTTAAAAATGAGCCAGACCAGCGAATTGTCCACGAATTTCGCGCAAGAATTTATCCGAGTTACCTATTATTATCTATATTAAATCACTGCGCTAAACATTAAAAGTTATTCTAGTATATTTATATATTGCAACTTCATTAGTGACACGAATAATTAAACTTCAATTGCGCCACAGTGGCCATTGGTTGCCGAGTGCCACATTCAGACAACAACTCAATGAATACAGAACAGCTTTAATTATGTTGAATGTCGACAGTTTTGTGACTAATTTATGCTGAACAGACAATTGTAATATCTCGAGAGCATCATAGTTTTCATCAGACTAATTTAGTGAAGACCGCGATTTGGCGCGTAACGTATAAGGAACTTTGCCAGTATCGTAATCTGCTTTAAGAGCCCTTGTACATTTTTTTTTTTTCGTTCGAAAAATCGTAATTTTTGAGCGCCTCGTTTACCCCCTTAAAAAATATTTTGACTATTTCTAATAAAAGTAAATAGTAGATTAATTATTCCTATTGTAAGTTAATGTAGAATATTTGCAAATACTATTTTCCTTTTTTGTACTGATCGTTCTACTGCAGCTAGTTTACGGAAAAAACGATAATATGCACAACTTCTAACGCCTCAATCTCTCAATAATGTTCAATGAATTAGATCAAATAAATTACTACGAAATCAGAAATATGTTTTTGTTGTAACATAATGTATTAGAATTTTGATTTTCTATCTCAATAATTATCAAAAAAAAGAACATTTAACCTCGTTGAGTTTTCTTAAAAAATCATGCAGGTTTACCTCGTATTTTGATATTGAATTAAAAAGAATTACTATCAAAAACTTTCATAAAACTAATCTACCATCATTGAACTACTGAAATATGTATATATTTTTATAATTAGTTCATTATTAATTATTTTATAAGACTCGAAACATTACCCGTAAAATGCAATATATACTAGTGCAAATCTACCTACGCGCCGATCAGTACGGCAGCGACGCAATTTTGTAAAAGGGCTCTTAAGCTCGCATAAATTTAGCTCTTAGGCTGTTACAAGCACTCATGAATGTCTAGAAGTTACGCCAATGGTTCGTAAATCTACGGCGCTAGCTCTTGTACTGAGGAGAACCGGCAAGAAACTCAGCAAGGACTTTTTTTTATTGCTGACTCATGGAATCATTATTGTGGAGTTTTGTATCTACTCAATCACTTTTTGTGTATGCACCCCAGGGATCAGGGGATTGGGTCAGGGTAAGCAAGCGGCTATAGCCTATGGCGGCCGCTTACCATCAGGTAAGTCGCTTTTTCGCCACCCCTTCAACATAAAAAAAATAGCTTAACATCCTTATTTACTATCTTTCTTGTTAAAGTGAAACTTATATAAAACCTACATTTAAACAAATGTTTTCGTTCATCTTTAGCCGGTCCGATTACATTTTTAATTGTTATTAAAAAATCAGGTCTTATCATTAAAGCATCGTTGGTTTAACGGTAGAAAACTGCCCTGCATTATGGCAATAGAATAAAATTCATCCACCACGAGCATTCAATAAAAACCAACGTAAGGGGCAAAAAAGTAACTTTTATTCTTTAAGGAGAATTTCTCTTCCGATCAAGACCAGTATCTTTACATGACAAAACAAAAGAAAGCGCGGTTTTCATCACCTCATTCACTACTGTCGAAAGCCTTTGTGTAAAATGCATTAAGAGCTTTAGTACTACTTGGCACTGCGACGTCGTTAGCCTGTAAGTGTTCACGATTAATTGGAGTCTTATTGACAAAGAAGGTCTGAAGTAAAATTACAATGGATTTCCCGGTTGAGTATTCTTCGGAAATTTCAGTTCTAATTACTTCAGCATCAGTAATGAATGATTCTACAAAATAAAGTGTTTCTCAACTTTTTGAAATGCTCAACGAGAAGTAAAGAGTTCTTGGCGCAAACTTTTTTATTAAACTTTTAATCAGATTTATTGGAATTATGGTATAATTTCCTAGGACTACATTTGAAATAACTTGAGAATTTTTTATATAATAATTATAAAAGACTTTGATCAAACAACAATACAATAAAAAGTTATTTTTATCTGGATCTAAACAATGTTTCGAGAACTCCGATCCGATCAAAATAAAATGTTGTATAAGAAATTAAAAGAAATCACCCAATGATACTATCATAGTTCATTATCATATATAGTGATATGATTCAGCAGCATTTCAACTTGCTCGATTCAGTCATATAAATAAAGCATAGAGTTCTAATCTCTTTGCACCCTATTCGAATGTGGGTCGAAGTATTTACGTCTGGTATCATAAATACCGACCAATTGTGATTTGGCAGAACGCCTGTTAAGGCTAGCTGGAGTTACGTACATAATATAAGTTTGAATTCATGTAGAGTTTGGTAGTCTACTTGTAAATGACACGATGAAATTATAGTTTTAGTAATGCATTTTTTATGAATTCATTACATTAATGAATCCTGTTCTTTCTGGACACATCACACTTTCAATTAAGTAAACCTACTACAGTAGCTTTGATTATATTAGTTATAGTAACCAATGTAAATGTTCTAACGCTTCATTTTGAATCTCTAGCACCATTAGATTACATTATGAGTAATGTTCATCGATCTACTACGATCACAGAAGTTGGTAATCCACTTTAAAGCAATAGGCTATTGACCTAGATTTTAGTACCGGGCGTAAACTTTAAAAGCCAGCGCTTAAACTCCGATTTATCATGATCATAGTCGTTGTCCATACACTAACTTACATAGATTTAGAAGTCGTAGAATAGGACACGATATGGTAAAGTTCACGAAACATGAATTAGGTTGCGTTGCACCGAGTACTACTTTAGATGCACTGTTAAAGTTAATTTTAACTGCAACTTTAACAATAACCATTAAAGTTCACTATCTCTTGTTGCACCGTCATATAAAATGGTATAGTTAAAAGTTAAAAGGGTAACAAGTGAAAAGACGTTTCCCTTCCCAAAAATTCACAGGGGTAAATTTTTGGTAATGGCAATACTTCAAGTAGTATTAAATTTTTGGTAATGGCAATACTTCAAGTAGTCATTGTAATAAAATTGCACTGTCAAACGCAAACCAGCTTACTTCATTGACATTGAAATTTTGGCACACTGTGGTGCTTCGCTTATGTTGTTTATAGTTAAAAGTTGGTAAACAAGCTACCCAGGAACGATTATGAGAATTCAGGAGAAATTAATAGTATCAATATGCTTCAAAACTCCAATGCAAAGTGAGTTTATCATCTACGATAAACTTTTTTTTCCTAACTATCAAATTGAATTCACTATAATTAATATCACTATCATCGCTAGAAAAGCTAGATCCCCATAGTATGTCGTGGATTTAAGACATTAGGTATATAAGTTTATAATTTTTTATTCAATATCAGCTGTTTTCTATTTAATAGCACAATTTCTAGGTTATGATTACATGACAGTTGACACACACAAACTGTTACTATAACGCTAACCGTCCGAAGTTGAGCGGTTATGGTTATCATTATTTGTGACATCATTTTAACCATTGTTAAAATGATGCAACCTGAATTTCGCTTACCCAGAGATTTGAAGGCAAGTGTGGCATTTGTTATCGTTATAGTAACTTGGTGCAACTCACTCTTATTGATTTTAATATTACAACCCTTAAAATGTATATACTAATCGTCTCAAATTCCTGATAATCAACCACTGTTTTTTTAATAGGTAGGTTTAGGTTTAACATACAAGGTGTAAAAAAACCTATAACAAAGTCGAAGGCCTCATATTTTCCACATCATGACGATCATTTTTTCTTCTGGACTATGGTCCAGGACTGGGAAATTTATGGTTATGGAAATAATGAAGATTAAAGTCGGATTTTTTTTTCAAGATTTAAACATTATTATTTTTAAAACGTTATTTAGAAACTTTTTTATCGACGCAACACACACGCACACACAGCCACATTCTTTGCGTAGCGTAGTAGCACGCCGGGATATACATTGCGTACTGGACAAAAAAATACAAATTTTTCCCACCTTTAATATTTTGTTTGGGTGTACAGAATGCGTAGTTTAAGTCTTTGTCATAGGTTTTTTTACACCCTTTATGCCTCCACCCCACCTGATGTTAAGTGACGGTGGAGTCCATGCGAAAAAAGCTGGTACAGCAGTTTCACTTACCACATCAGTCAACCTCACATTGCCGGCCTGCAAGTGGTGGTGCGGATAGTCGGACAAAGACATGACTTGCGATTTTTTCATCGCGTTAAAAGAGTGGCCACAGTATGTCGGTGACAACGTAGGAAAAGGAAAAGTGAGATAAAGGAGAATAACTCCTCTGAACACTCGCCGTGGTATAGTCGGTAGAATGCGCTTAATAATGTCACATCACGACATGCGCCTGTAATCCTAGTTTGCTAAACTTACCAGTTGCGAATTGACACACCACTATCTGTGTGAAGAGGAACACGCCTGTTCTCCACATAGCGCCTGGACGAGGCCCTGCCCCACACGGGCCTTCATAATCTGAAACGAAGAAAGGATTATTTAATATTTCTCCTAATGCCTTGATATCCCTAGACGGGTTAGCACAGTTTAAAATTTGAAGTAATATGACAGTCACTCCAGCGTGTGTGACAGGAGAGCATAATGGACAATATTTGAAATCCCCACCAAAGTTATTTTGTTAGCTGAAAACAATAAAGTAATGTTAACATTGACCGAAGCGAATATGTTTATAGCTTCTTATTGTGTATAAAAGTTATGGGTTTCTTTTTAGGATAATAACGAACAAATCTAAATTGGAACACAAAATATTTTATACCCGTAGGTACTCCGGTCTAGAAAAATCGACGCCACAAAAAATATGGCTTATCGTGAAAACACCGATTCGATTTCACGAGAACTTGAAACGACGGAAGCGAAAGCTGCCAAGCGTGGGTGGCTGATCTGATACAGACTCAGAATATCTAGAATAATACCGTAAAATGGCTTGTTTATTTGCTGATCGTATTAAAACCTAAATTGAATTATGTTTGTTCAAAATTAATCTGCTTAGAGTTTGCATAGAAACCATGGATTAGATTTTTATCACGTAGTAAATCAACCGTTTTCGTGTCAACCAAAGCTTCGAGTGAAACATTAGTAAAAGAACCAATCGAGCTAAGAAGTAGAAGCATACATGTAAATGAAGATCTTAACTAGTAAATTTGTATCTTAATATTATAAAAAAATATAGGAGGGTCTTTAGGGGTTAAAAGTATGACATGATAAGACAGGTAGGGCATAGCGGATTTCCCGCTCGGAGCGCCCGTCTGGGAAAGTATCCTCCACCTTACAGTAAAATAACACTACCTTTTGATGGTGTTGTGTTTCTGTCGGCGAGTAAGGTTCCAGTGCTCCACGGGGTAGGGGATTGGGTTAGGATAGGCAACGGTGCCAGTGATTTTATGGTACTGCAAGCATATATAGGCAATGGTAGCCGCTTACCATCAGGAGGGCCTTACGCTTGTTTGCCAAACTTTCAAAATGAGCATAAAGGTTCATTCGATCCTCGGCGCGCACCGTCCACTAGTTGACTCCGCGCTGTCAACACACTTACGTCGGGTGCGCCACGGGTGAACGCCGCGCGGCCTGCCCCGCCCGCCATAAAAGCATGCAAAGCAGAGCCCGTAGGTACGTCCCCACGACAACGGCTAACTAGAGCCGAAATCCGAGTCTCAGAGACGCGCGTCTCTGAGACTCGGATTCTAGATCTAGTTGAGCCGAACCCCTCAGGTTCGAAGCTCCAGACGGAGAGAAGACTCCCCCCGTGGGGAGATGCACAACCGCCTCACACAATACCTTTAGAGGCACTAGCCAATTCTCGGCTTGAGGTCCCCTTAGGATCTCGCCGTCCCCAAACCCAGTGACGCTGTAAAGGACATCTGCGACCAACAGCATACACAATTTAAAATAAAACGTTTCTCGCATGTGAGCAGCGCGGTGGTGACCGCGGTATCTACCCGCCAACGCAACGACGAACGATTTGTGAGCGAGGTGAAGCGCTGACGGTACGGAGTTGGCGTAGTGAGCGCTTCCCCATAGAAATACATACAAAGAATATTGTTACGTGTCGGGATGGGGTTCGAAATTATATACCAGTTCACGCTGGACAGTTCTTTATTCACCAAACTGTTCACACAATTAACACACAATGTTAATTACAAAACACTCACTAAACACTGTATTTCACTATACAAGTCTCTAAACAATCTCACTTGAACACTTTTGTTACACTTTGATCGCCTTTTGATTCGCTTCAAAATCGCTGTTGAAACTCAACTGACTCTGCGCGGCGCCTATCGCGCTTATATACGCCGATCGACGCATTCTAGAAAGTACCTGTTAAATTGAGAATTACCTAGCACCCACGAGAACGAAATACCTACTTATACCTACGCAGGTAACGCGCATAACTTGTAAACAAGTGCAGATGTCGTTGCACGTTCACCCTTACGCCGCACTGCATAAGGCTCATTTTAGAATGAGCCGCATTACTCGACCTCTATCGCGACCCGCGGTGATCTGGCAAATTCGATCTCTAGTACTTTCGCGGTTACGTTTCGAGAGCGTTTGTGACAATATCAACAACCGCATGAATTGAGGCGGTGCTGGTCGGGCGCCGAGTGAGTCAGATGCACTATGACCTTTAATCACTGACATATACAGTGAAGAGCTCAAAGGAACAGTAGTTACCGTGTTCGGTCTGCGATCATAAAAATAAGCAACTTTTTCAATAGCCAGTCACAGAATGAGTGACTAAAAATTTAACCGTTATTTGCAATAGCACGTTTAGGCGAGCTCGCGTTTTGGGTCATGGCTCATTTTCCCTACTCATGTCTTATGGATGCTCTGTACCACGTAAGTAGACACGAATAGCCTAGTGATGATGATCATTAATAACAGTGAAGCAGATGATAAGCGTAAGATAAAAATTGGCAACAGTCATCATGTTACCTAAAAGGGTCAATATTTTTTATCTCAATATCAATTGAAGTTTAACTGTCTTGGATAACTTGGCTTATGGTTGATTCTGCATACGTATCTACCGAATTTTGTTTTACGCTGAGACAAATTACAAACCGTTATGAAAGTTATATTTAATGAGCTTAGAAGGTCGATAACAGTACAAGCACTCGTACGCGTAATGCGTACATTTAATTTATATTTCCATTGTACCCTAAAAACTCCGCCAAGTTTCTAACTAACATTTCTAAATGTCACAGTTTGCTAGGAGCAAAAAGTTTTAGTCTGTGAACGAATACGTAGTCTATCTGTTCAATATACATAATTTAGACTGGAAAGTTGATTTTTTGTTGAGAAATAATTTGTGACTCAATATTTATCCATGTCTGCACACGGATAAGTTTCAGATCAGGTTTTTTATTACATTCAAATAAAATAACTTATGGCGCCATTACACTAAGTCGCTAGCCCGAATAAGGTTGCCAATGGAATTTGGGTAAACGACTAAGTGTATATGATCGAAGTCGAGTACGCCCGTATTCGGCTTAGATTAAAACAAAAAGGGTAGATACGGCACTAGCCTCACCAAAAGTGATCCGCACCAATTGTGGTCCACGACCCTAATCGCTTTAGTCACAACTTGACATGCAAACGACGTACATGTGAACGCCAAAAAGAAATATTGCTAATATTTTGTGTTTATATGATAAAACAATCCCTAAGTGTGTTTTTAAAAAGTGCTTAAATAGCTCAATAACTAAAAATAAAACCCACGGCATCACTTTTCATTCGTAAGTACTATAAAATATTTTTTTTCATAAAAAATGTTGTTTGTTTTGAATCTTATTCGGTAGTGACGTCGAGTACTGGTCGCCTGATTGGTCGGTAATGCACTGACGCGGATCTCGCCGTCTCGTTTGCGCTGCCGTTGAAACTTAACATGCTGTTTCGCTCGGGTCGGTAATGCAGTGACGCGGATCTCGCCGTCCCGTTCGCGCTGCCGTGGGATCAGTTTTTGTTTGATGCAAGTATGAGCGTACCGTATCTACCCTTTCTGTATTAATCTAAGGTATTCGGGTAGTTTTCGTTTTGGTTACCCGACACCGGCTTCCAGCTCATATTCCAATGTTACTATTGCTTCGGGTGCCCGAATTCGAGCAATGTCTGCCGTGCACCCGAATACGATCTTACGACCAAAAGTAATTGAGCCAATGGTATAGCAGTTTGCTTAATGGTCTCTTTAAGATTAATGGATATTTTTTGTGTCAGAATCTTAGTGTGCAGCCATTAATGTACTAATTCCTGACTACAATAAGCTTTTTTCTTCCAACGATTATGAAACAATAAGATACATTCTGGATCACTGGAAACAAACTTGCTATTTATGAACAATCATAAAAAATCAAAATCATTTGACGTTAAAGATTTTGCCGCCTCAATGTTAACATAAAAAATCTACTATTCAATTAATTAACTATAAGATAATATAATAACAAAAAATTCTTATTTTATTTATATAAATAATTACATACACACACATACATAATACACAAATACACTATTTTCCCATAGGCTAACGATTTCTTTACTAATGTTACGATACTAATGTTATAAATCAAAAGATTTTCTGTTGACATTTACGATTTTAAAAGTGATTTCAAAATTAAAACTAATAGGTTTTCCAATTTTATCTATAAGTTAGCATTGCATTGTAAACAAAGGTCATATTTCAAAGATATTTGAAATAGTTTAGTACAATTTCCTTCTAATTAAGAGGTCCTTAGTGCAGTCACGCAATCTCTTTATTAGAGAACTTGTCTGTTTTGTAATTTTTAAGCGAAAATTCAAAATATCTTTGTTCAAATAGGAAGCGTAATACACCTCTTTTGAAATACCCGTATATTTTTCTCTACGGTTGGTTTAGGACATTTTTTTAAGCCGTGGATAAAAACGAGCGAAAAAAACAATTGCGAATTATCAGGCAACGGGTCAGGAATCAATTGGTACTTGCGACATCACCTCATGAGAAATGATTAGAGGTTTCTTCATTTCTATCATAAAAATCAAGAATTACTACAGATCCGTTTATGAAACAAGAATTTTTTGAGCTTATGCCAAAATGCATTTGTCAGATTTTCCCTTGAATAATAGCTAACGGAACTATTTCTTGCACTTATCATTTCCGCTCAATGTATTTCGTTACTGCCATATTTCATTCTTTGCGACTAGGAAACATGTTGGAGCAATACAATTGGCTCGGGTTCAAAATAGGACTTTATATTATAGACAGCATGTTACTCGTATTCTGTAGCTGTTCGCAATATTTTATTTAGATAATGTCAGACCCTACGTCAAACCTTAGTAATTTATTATTGCGAAAATTATATTTTTTGAACGTAAGGGATTGCGAATCAAAAAGTCACTCTCGAGGAATTTTGGGCTAAGCTCTACCTTGAAAAAACGAATTGTATGTGTGTTCATCACTTGGTCAGGGAGGCCAAGCATCTGTAACGAAGGTA